ATTAATGTTGTCACTAATATAGTTTCCATGCCCTGTGTATAGTCCTAAGGACATGCATTTGTTTATTACACCCTCCTACTTCTACTTTTTCCTATTACAGTATTGTAGAAAAATCTACTAGATTATTTAATCTCATTTATATGCAAAGAAATTTTCAATGCTATAATTTGGTAGAATTTTCAAAAGACAATGCCCTAAAGAGAAAAGTCGAAAGTACAATTCTATAATTGGGTAGATCTTTCAAAGTACAATGCCATAATAAATAAAAAAAGTGAAGTACAATGCTGTAATAGTAAGAAATGAATGTTCAATATTGTACTCTGAAAAATCTATCCGATATATAGCAATGCCCTGTATATATATAAAGCAATTTTCACTGCTATAATTGGGTAAAATTTTGCATAGTACAAAACTACAAATGTACAATGCCCTAATAATAAAAAAGTTGAAGGTACAATGCTATAATTGTGTAAATCGTTCATATACAAAACAATTTTCACTGCTTTAATTGGGTGTATCTTTCAAAGTACAATGCCTTAATATATTGTTTTTTCTCTAAAGTACAATGTTGTATCAGAAGTAAATGGAAGTACAATGCTATAATTGGGTAGAACTTTCAAAGTACAATGCCTTACTAAGAAAAAAACGGACATACAATTCAATGTCATCCATATACAAAGCAATTTTCACTGCTATAATTTGGCAGATCTTTCAAAGTACAATGCTCTAATAAGAAAACAAAAGTTGAAAGTAGAATGCTATAATTTGGTAGAGCTTTCAAAGTGCAATGCCACAATAAGAAAAAAAAAACGGAAAGTACAATGCTGTAACAGAAAGAAATGAAAGTAGGATGTCATAATACTCAAACAAAAGAAAGTAAGTTGCTATTTCTTGCATTTCAGACCATCTTTCGAAATCCAAAAGAAGTGAAACCATACAATGTTTCATCCCCAGAGCGATGCAATCTACCTGCTTCCGCTATTCGGGCATTTTCAGATTCTCTTGTGATTGTTGATACGGATGCTCCAGCAGCTCATATAGCACAACACAGGTGGCAACCAAATACGCCAGATGGGCAAGGAACTCCGTTCCTGTTCCAACATGCCAAGGCTACTGCAAGCTCAAGTGGTGGAAGTTTCATGCGTATGTTCAAAGGACCATCAGTGTCTGGATCAGATGAATGGCTATATCCACAGGCTCTTGCGTATGCAGCACCAGGTCTTAGAAACTCTTCCATTGTCTGCATCACATATGACAATGAAATCATTACAGGTAAACAACTTTTTCCCTTTGATCATTATATTATATTATATTATTAAAGGTCAAATGGTAAGGCTAAAATATAGAAAAGCTTGATTGAAAAATATAATCCACATCAAGTACATGTAACGTGAGAACAAAATACAGAAAAACACACCTTTACTTTCATCATGTTGTTTTAAGCGGTCAAAAAAGTATGGTGGTTTAAATGTTTAGTCACTACCGAAAATAGTTAAGTGGCTAAATTGATACAGCGTGAAAGTCCAAGTGCTTATCTGTATTTTGCCAGATATGTAACAGATTCTTTTTTGGAATCGCTGAAATAAATGCAATATCTCTCTTTTGGAGAAGTTTCAAGTTAGTAATCATTATAAAATATTGATAGCCTCGATTGTATGGAGCATCCTACTTTTATTCCTTTCTGTTATAGCATTGTACTTTCAATGTTTTTATCAAAGCATTGTACTTCATTTTTTTGCTTATTATGACATTATACTTTGAAAAATCTACCCAAAAATTAGTTTGCATTTGGATGACATTTTCAAAGTAGAATGCTGTAATAAAAAGAAATGGAATTACATTGCTGTTTCTTCCGTTTAAGCCTTTTATATTTTGTGGATTCCAACCAGGTGGACACGTGGACAACAGTGTGAGACTAATATCATCAGATGCTGCAAAAACCCTAGAAATAGCCCGAGGCCATTCCGCACCCGTAACATGCATGTCTCTCTCGCCCGACAGCAACTACCTCGTCACCGGTTCCCGAGACACAATGGTCCTCGTCTGGCGGATCCACCAATCCACCGACCCTCAAAAAACCAGCATCTCCGAATCACCACCCACCTCCACCACACCAACTTCCACTAAATCCACAAACAACAACCTACTTTCATCAGACAAAAACCGCAAACGCCGCATCGAGGGTCCCGTCCAGGTCATCCGGGGGCATTTTGGGGAAGTGGTTTGTTGCTGTGTTGATTCCGATCTTGGAGTCGTTGCTTCATGTTCTGATTCATCGGATGTTTTGCTTCATTCCGTGAGTCGGGGTCGGTTGCTTAGGAGGCTTGATGGTGTGAAGGCACATGTGGTTTGCCTTTCGCCAGCTGGCGTTGTGGTGACTTGGAATCGGTTGTCCTGTACTCTCTCGACTCATACGCTTAATGGGAAGATGATTGCTCAAACTCGGATTCCGGGATCATGCACCGTTAGCTGTATGGAGGTTTCTTCTGATGGTCAAAGTCTTTTGATTGGGTTAAATTCGTCTTCTGGAAATGATGATGTCAGCAGAATCCGGTCCAAAAGGGAAGAAACTGAAAGTGTTGATGGTGATGATGTTGAATTGAATGAAGATGGTGAAGTTGAAAGATTGGAGTTTACATCCCCTTCAGTTTGCTTCCTTAATCTTCATACGCTTGAGGTATTATTAATTTGCAAGTTGTGATTACTGATTTGAATTTGATGAGGTCAAAAAGACTAGGGTTAAATGCAAGAAATAGCAATGTACTTTTGTTGATTATCTTTATAGCATCATACTTTGAAAAGTCTTAACCAATTATTGCATTGGTGGGTAGATTTTTCAAAGTACAATGCTCTAATAAGAAAAATCCGAAAGTAGAATGCCATGATAGAAAGAAATGAAAGTAGGATGCTATATATAATAAAAAACATAAACGAAAGTATGTTGCTACTGCTACTTTCACTCGACCCAAAAAAACAATATTTGGAGTTGAAAAACAAAACAGGGTGTGATTTGTTGGGAATAAAGAAATGGGTTAAATGCAAAGAATTTTTATTGATTCATTTATTAGAGCATCATCTCATGCTTTTATTACAAACAAACATTGTAATCTTAAGGATAAAGCTAAATCTGATTATAGCAAATATCATCCAATCCAAATACAAAGCAATTTTGATGGTAATAAGAAAATAATTGCTGACAAGCATAAAAAACTGTGGCAGGTATTTCACAGTTTGCAGCTGAAAGAAGGGCAAGATATAACAGCAATTGCAATGAATAAGGACAACACAAATCTCTTGGTTTCAACATCCGACAAGCAATTGATTGTCTTCACAGATCCTGCTGTAAGTTGACAAAACTAGCCTTTCTAGAACTTTGATATGGTGATATGACCTGCTGACATGCAGTGTTGACTTACTTTTTGGTTGGTTGGTTGGTGGTAATTGTATTTGTAGTTGAGCTTGAAGGTGGTAGATCAGATGTTGAAGCTTGGTTGGGAGGGTGATGGACTTAGTCCATTCATGAAATAACCATTTTGCGTACTCTTTGACCCTACTACTAGCTGAGTAATGAGGTTGAGTCAACACATTATTTTCTTCAATGATTTTCTTTGTGGTGTAACATAAACATATAATAGGTGAGGTGAGGTGAGGCAACAAGTTGTTGGTAATGGTATATAAACTAGAAAACTATACATCTAGATGTACAATAGACTGACTTACACGTTATGTTATGTTATGTTATGTTATGTGGTATTTGAGTTTGGTGTTGTAAATTTTGAGGTTGTGCACTTTTTGATGTAAAACTAGATGATGGATGATGTTTTGCTATTTGTGAAAGAAAGCTGATTCCTTCCATCTCAATACCTTTTTCATTGCAATGCAGCCAGTATAATTGGATATTATTAGAGTAAATTATAAGTTTTGGTCCCTCTGGGTTTACTTACCTTCCTCTCTTTCTTCTTTGCCATCTATTGTTTCTCCTCCAACCGCCTAGAACTCATCCCTAACTCTCAGCAGTTTGATTTTGGTTCTAAATTTTGTCCTTTCTATTTGTGATTACATCTGTACTTCCCATTTGTGATTATTATTTGATTTGTAAGCTAGGATTTTAATTTGGTTTAATTTTAAGTTTGGGGATTTCAATTTAATGGTAATTAATGATGGTATCAATGGTGGTGGCAGTCGTGGCAGTTGGTGGACAAGTGGCTGGTTTAAGATTTGAGGTTCAGAGTGGGGATCGAGTGGAATGGTACGTGGGCCTCTTTTATTTAAAAATTAAATGACAAAAACAAAAGCAATCTTTGACATTTTACATGTACTTAACGGAGGGTTATTGACAAATAGGAACCAACCGTGAAAGATTTTGCAACCATAAAAAACAACCTTATCATGTTTTGAAAACTTGGACTCAAATTGCAGATAGGTGTAAACCATAGTGCCCAAAACTTTAATTTACTCTTGACAATAACTTTAGGTTCGATCCACAAAGAGAAAACTGGATTCTCACTCTCAAGTCTCAACACTAGTTTTATAATTATATCCATGGAATATATTAATGATGTATGTAACTAAAAAAAAACTACAGGTAGCAAGATAATATGGGTTTTGGACTTTATATTTTTGCCCATAATAGCAATGTGCTTACATTTTTTTTAACCAAATAGTGATGAGACTTGTTCAACAACTTTTGACTTTTTCAATAACAAGTCAACAAATAGAACAAGAAAATGACTTGTGATAAAGGCAATCATCAAAAAACAAACCAAAGAAGTCACTTAACATACCAACCAACTGCCCTTGTTATTCTTTTGATGGTTAAAATGCTAAAAGCTACATGAAAAGGTCTTCAACAAATCATGTTTGTATAGTTTTTCTCTTCGATCTATAGCATGGAAAAACAACAAAAAAAAGGCCTAACTTCAAATACGAATCTTTGTTTCAAGAAAAACAAAATACAGGGTCTGTCATACCTTCTTCATAACCACCACCTACCAAAAACTTCATGTTTCAACACTCACATTTTCAGTCGCTTTTGCCTCTTCTTCCAACTCTTTAACAGCTCTCACAAGTGATTTAGTAATCCCATTAAGATGTAAACCTTTCCTTTCCATTTCCTCCATTAACTTCTCACCCATTCTCCAATTAGCAGCCTTCAAACAAACAGACTGAATCAACTTACCATACTCATCACTATTAGCCCTAACCCCATAACTTTCCATCTCATTCAACAGCTTCACAGCCTGTCCAAATTTCTCAAGCTTACAATACCCACGAATCATTGTATGATATGTGACAGGTGTCAGCTTACAGTGGCTCTTCTTTGCCTCCACCAACATTTTCTCAGCTGCCTCCATTTCACCACCTTTTGCATACCCACTCATGATCACACTGTAAGCAAACACATCAGGCTTTAATCCCCTACCTTCCATTATCCTCATTGTCTTTATAGCTTCTTCCATATTTCCTGATTTAGAAAGCCCATTGATGATAGTATTGAACACTGCGTTTCCAGGAGGTGGACCTTCATCGATCATTTTGGACAACAAAGTTTTTGCCCCTTCAAAATCGTTAACTCTACACAGCCCTTGAATCACACAAGAAAACTGTTTGATTGCGTGTTTCTGTTTTTCTCCATTGAAATCATCCAACATCTTTAAAGCTAAGTGGACAGAATCCGAATCTACTTTCTTTCGATCACAGAGAGAAGTGATTAAAAAGTTAACAGATGGTTGAGGTGGGAATTTTTGTTTTTCTTTTGCTGATAAATAAACAGAATGAGCTTCTTTCACCATTCCAGCTTTGCATAAATAAGATATGATGCTTCCAAGTTTTCCTGCTTCAGGTAGTTTATCTTCACTGAGCATTCTCTCACAAACTAAACCAACTCTGTCGAAAATGGATCGCCTACAAAGCGCTTCAATGGTGAAATAATATGAATCTGCATTTGTTGGACATGAGAAATCTTCAAACTTGTTGAAAACTTCAAACCCAGCCATTCCTTTACCCAATCTTGAAAACACAGAGATTAGAGAATTGAGCATCTCTGTGGTCAAAACATTGTTTTCTTTGACACCCAGATCCTTAATAAAATCCCACAAACTATAAGCAACCTTCTTTTTGAGCTCTTTGCAAACAGCCTTCACAAGTGCATCGAGAGACCTTGTTGTAACAGAGAACACTTCTCCATTGTTCACTCCAGTAGCCCACTTGAAGAAAGCAATCAAATTCTCCCCATGAATATGTGGAGTTTCTATAACTCTCACCACAAACTCTTCGTTCAGATTCAAATTCATATCATCTAGTTTCGATTCTAAGGACACAGTAATAACATCAGAATCACCATCTCTGATTTTAAGAAGAGATAGCACTCTCTGTAATTCATCGATATCAACCTCGTGCGTTTCTTCAGTAACTACTTCTATCGATTCCTTAATTTCCGAATCAGAAACATCCATTTCTAACACGCTATTAGCCTCGTTAATACCATCCTTCCACATTTCTCCAAAACTGAAGCTATCATTGTTTTCGTTTTCAGCCCCAATTACATCACTGTTGTTACCGGTACTCACTTCAGCATCCGCAACTGAATCTGTCGAACTGGAACTAAAGAATCTAATGGCGTTTGATTGTGTAAATAGATCTTTTGATCTGAAATTCTCCAGGTGGCGATATGATGCTAGGGTTTGAAGGTTGTGTACCTGAGAATGCAATTGTGGAAAATCGGATTTGGAATGCGAGAATCCTCTGATAGATCGAACTCTTCGTGCTATTACTCTGGATCGCCACATTTTTCCTGTGTGTGATGTTTGGAGCAGTATCCAAAAAGGCAAAACCCTTGGTGTGTTTTAGGTTTTAGGATTTGGGTGTTTGAATTTGATGGGTCGGGCCGGTGGAATAAATTTTCATATTTGTTTTTGAATAAATCATACGAATCATCTTGTGCAACTACCAAAATATATTTTCAAGGGACGATGCAAATACTTCTCATGTTTTTGTAATGGCACCAAAAATAACAGTGACACTGGTTTTTATACACGTTGCGCCTTAATAGAAAAAAATTACATTACGGAACAGAAACAGAGGAGTGACCCAGGACCCTCCGGGAACCAGTTAAGTCTGCCAATGCGTTTAGTTTTTATTTTCAAAAATTAATTCGGACCATCATTGTATAATTTCTTTCACCCGGGTCGTCCATGTGGACATAAAATGACTACTTTTCCCTTAATAATTTCTTTTCCAATTTTATTTTATTTTGTTTATCATTTTTTAGATTAAAAAAATTAAATAAAATAAATACCCAACCCACCCACACCTCCCCTTCCCCTTCCCCACGAGCTTTGTCTCCCTCAATCTCACTCTACCTTCTTCCTCTCCGTCAACCTGATAGCCTCTATCTCCTCTATTTCTCTTTCAAGCATTTTCCAACGACCTAGACCCCTCAAACCACTACCATTGATGTTGTCGTCGGACCTCTCCAGTTATCACCATCAGATTTGCAGGTTCCTGATGCATCATCGTCGCTCATCTCCTCATCTGTCTATGTTGTCTTATGCATTTAGTTTAAGAACCCTAAATCCTTTGTTGATTTCGAATTAAACATTGTCATGTCCTAATTCTTCCTTCCTTATTGCCCTGGTTTTTCTTGCCTGGTAAGCCTTCTCCCTTATTCTACTAATCCTTTGTAGGTGTGTTTTCTGATGGAGACTGTTTGGGGTGATAAAGTTGTTGGTGGAGATGACAGATGATTGTTTCTTTGTGCAAGGTGTCGATTGGTGGTGGTGTTAACTGTTGGATAAGGTGTCTAAGTCCATAACTTATTTGGTATATGCTTGACCCGACCCGGCATGGTCCATT